CTCTCTCTCTCTCTCTCTCTCTCTCTCTCTCTCTCTCTCTCTCTCTCTCTCTCTCGATCTCAGGTAGCCAAAGTAGCTGAGGATGACCTTGAACTTGCTCTTCTTGCACCCACCTCCTGAGTGCAGGAATTGCAGGTGTACTAGTACTACGACCATACCTGATTTCTGTGGCACTGGAAATGAAAGCCATGACTTTGTCCATGCTAGGCAAGTATTCTCCCAACTGAGCAGCAGCCCAGGCCTCCCACTGTTGGGATTATATTGGTACCTCTGAGAGTTCTCTTGAGCCATCTTCCATGTGAAGACATGGCCAGACATCAAGCATCCTTGAATCAACAAGCAAGGCCTTACAAGAAAACAATCTCCCAGAACCTTACACTTCTCAGCCCCCCAGAGTTAGGAGAATTAAGTATCTTCATACATGAGCATAAGCCACTTAGAGACATTTTTGTTGTAGCAGCCCTAGACTATGATGTCCTTATACTCAGTGCTCTTGAAGGTGACACAGCCTCCACTTACCTCTTCAAAGGCAGGGAAATAACACTTTCTTGCTTTCTGTGTGATCTGGGCAAGGCTTGCATCTTTCTCCCCAGGTGGAAGGAAAGGATAGCGGATAATCATCTCATTCAGATCGATGGTACCTTCTGTATACATGTCAATCCTGAAATATAGCACGATTAATCAAAACCCAGAGACAGAAACTGGGGTTCCATCTGAAGGTCAGAAAAGCAAACAACCAGCCACTGGCTCTTACCTCTACCTCAGACCAAAAGGCCATCCTGCCTCCAGTAATCTCAGAATGAGACTTGTGTGAGAGTTGTCTTCTCCCGTCTTATATTCCTCTATAGGGCTGGGATTAAAGGTGTGCACCACTACCTCCCGGTTTCTATGGCAAACTATGTGGATACTGGGATAAAAAGGATGTGTTACCACTGCCTGGTCTGTAAGGCAAATCAGTGCGGCTGTTTTACTCTCTGAACTACAGGTAAGCTTTATTTATTAAAATACGAATGAAATATCACTACACTGGAAGATAAAATTCTTGCTCAAATACTTCCTTCTTACCTTGCATTCGTTGCTTAAAAACCTAAGCAATGAGACTGGAGAGGTGGTCCAGTGGTTAAAAACCTAAGAACCTACAACTCAGATGATGGCCAAGGAAAACTACCTGTAATGGAACCTCCAACTTTCACTCATAAGCTAACTTCTGTTTCTCAGGAATTCAGGGGAGACGATATTTGTGAAGTTTTCTTAGCCATGTAGTAACTAAACACAGGCAAAAAGGGCATCAGCCATCCACCACAGTCAGTACTGAGAAAAGGTGGCATCCACAACCACAAACCTTACACAGAGGGTTTGCTGCTGGCTGTGGTGTGTCCTGTCTTCCACGGATCATCAAACCCCTAGCACAGCTGTGCAACCTCTGCTGACCCTCCCTAATCCTAGCACGTGACTTAGGCTCATTACAGACCTAATGTTAGAAGCTCACCCCAATTATTTTCCATAGAACATGGATCTGCTACACCCTCCTGCCTTGTTATCCAATTCTAACCACACTTGCATTTCTTGAGTTCCCTCCTAAAATAGCACCTTACTATTTTTTTTTTATGATCACAGGTATGGAGCATAAGAAAAACTGAATGAAATGTAAAGTTGATAAACTACTTTATAAAAATAATCAGTTTAGGGTTGGAGAGCTGGCTTAGTGATTAGAAGCATTGACTGCTCTTCCGGAGGACCCAGGTTCAATTCCCAGCACCCACGTGACAACTCACAACTGTCTGTAACTCCAATTCCAGGGGATCTGACATCTTCACACAGACATACATGTAGGCAAAACATCAATGCACATAAAATAAAAATAAATTCTATGTTTTAAAAAAATAATAATCAGCTTATTGAGGTCCGTTCATAACCATAATTGTAATCTTAACATCCCATCCAGTGCTTTTTTTGTATGCTCCCTGAAGTTGCTAAGGACAACACTCTCCAGTCTTACACTTTTTAACCACGCTGGGTAATAATAAGACCTATAGCCATAGCAGCCAAGCCCCAAACCCTCCCACCAACTCTAGATAGTTTCTAATCTTCTTTCTGTCCCTATGCATTTGAGTCTTCTGGACATTTTTTAAAAAAAAGAAAAAAGAAAACACACAATGTCTGGTATGTTATATCTAATCTCTCATATGTAACAAAATTCCAAGGTTTATCTGCATCATCCCTTGAGTCTACCCATCCCTCTGCGCTGATATAGCTCATTGTGTGGCTGCAGAACACTTTCGTCGTCCATTCAACTGTTGGACATTTTGCACTTTTAAAGTATTATGAATCACGCAGCTATGAACACTTTGAAATAAAAATAACCAAAGATGTATGCTCATTTCTCCTGGATGTATTTCTCATAGAAACACTGGGTCATTAGTAATTCCATGTCTAACCTTTCAGGAAACTGCAAAGAGTCTTGCCTCTAAAGATTCATCAAGTGGAATCAGGACTCCACCATTCTGACTTCATAGTTCTTTAGCATGTTCAAAACCCCAGCTCCATGCTAAATCCAAGAGCTCTACCTTACTGTATAATCACAGATCTCTATATCCATGGACTCTGCCTTTCTCTCTAGGCTCAGTTCTCTAAGGGCAGTCAGATTTCCTATTCCCTATCCACAAGAGTCTCCACATTGGTGTCAGTGTAAATGCCCAATTTGGAGCTGCTTGTCATCTCCCTACCACATCTACGCTCACTCAAGACAGGACTCAGATCCTTCTCATGTTATCTGTCCATAAGTATAGGAAACTCATCATACATAGCTCTCTCCTTTATGTCCTTCCCATAGAGGTTGTATTTGGAGGCGATGTAGTTGAGAATGGCTCTGGTCTGCACCAGCTTCATCCCATCAATCTCCACCATGGGCACTTGCCGGAACATCAAACTCCCATCTGTTGAAAGAAACAAAGAAAATAAAGTCTATGGCTCAGATAAGTTCGAAATAGTATGTTTGTTAAAATAACTGAACTTACAGAAGGAAAAGACACTGGGGGTCTTTCAAGCTATATTTTTTGCATCCTAATCTTTCTTTTTCTTATTTTAGATTTCAATTTATTTTTTTAAATTGTGTGTGTGTGTGTGTGTGTGTGTGTGTGTGTGTGTGTGTGTGTGTTGTCCCTATGCATTTCTACATTCCATGGGCATGCCTGGTACCCAAGGAAATTAGAACAGGGCATCAGCTTGCCTGAAACTGGAGCTACAGATGGCTGTTGGGTGCCAGGAATCAAGCGTGCTTCCTCTGCAAGTACTTTTAAAGTACTTTTTAAAGCCGCAAGTACTTTTAAAACTAGCCCCTTCTTTTTTTTAAGCTGATTTTTCTTTTCCTTTTAGCCTGACATTTAGCACTGGTGCTTTGCCCATCTAGATATGCTGTTGGTCTCTGTGTCTTTAACTTAATTCATCTTCATGGATATTTTAGAAGAAGTTAAGGAAGATATAGGGTATTACTCACTTCAAGGTCAGCTCATAGAGAGGATTTCTAGGTAGGGCCTCTGTATGCTGTTAAACTAACACCATGGGACGTTGAGTGCTCTGTAGACTTCTTGCTATCCTCTCCCACCTCTCTTCTCTCCCTCCACCTCCCTCACCATCTCCCTCCCTCCTACATGCTCATTTAGACTTTCAAGTCATTCATTTGAAATTCATCCTATTTCATTATCAACCTACGATATTACTGAGGAGTCATTTTAAACGCCTGTCAGAAAATGCAGGGTAAGGAAGGTAATGCTGGCTCTATCTTTGCTCCTGTCCCTGTGTGTACCTGGGTGGAGGGTACAGTGGGATTCCAAGCTGCTATAGCCAACTGTGGTACAGAACACATGAAAAAGAGAAGAGACAATTTCTGATGTCTGCAGATGATTACTCACTAAATACCCAGAGCCCTTTGACACTCTGGAAGAGTTGCCAGGTCTGCTCAAGGAGCCTCATCTCTTACAGTTTGCCACTCTGCCTCTCTGCCATCCCACGATGCCCTACAAGTACATAGAAAAATCTGGTGTTTAAAGGCAATGTGGAGGACACTGCTCAGAAGCACTTAGACAATGTGGTAGTTTGAATGTAATTTGCGCCCATGTGTTCATAGTGGCACTGTTAGGAGGCGTGGCTTTGTTGGAAAAGTATTTCACTATGGGCACAGACTTTGAGGTCTTCTATGTGTGCAGGCCATGCCCAATTCATTTCCTATTGCCTGCAGGATCAAGATGTAGCCCCTTCTCCAGCACCGTGTCTGCCTGCATGCCGCCACGTCCCTCCACGATGATAATGGATTGAACCTCTGACTGTAAGCCAGCCCGATTAAATGTTCTTTATAAGAGTTGCCCTCCTCATGGTGTGTCTTCACAGCAATAGAAACCCTTACCAAGACAGACAGCAATTCTTACCATTTTTTAACCTTTTCAAGTCTTTTTGTGTTTTAATGAATTTTTCTTCAAACTGTAAAGCAAAAAATAGTACATGAGTTCTTGTCAATCATCCCATTGCATTTGCGCTTTCCAACACGATAGTCCCTGTGTATACAGTGGAGAGGACATCTTTAGTAGGGACACAAATAAGCTGCTCTTAGTCATGCAGACATTCTTTACAGACATAAAGAACAAAGGTAGAGGAACTGTACACACCGCTCACTCTTCCAGTTCACCTCCACCATGACCACACCTGTGTCTGCAAGGAGGTCATGGCTTCGGAGAAATGGATTTGGAGTCAAGAGACTGAGAATTTCTTCTAACCACATTGCAGAAAGCCTGTGTCTCTGAGAGAGATGAGGACAGAACTTCCTGTGTCCCCACCATGGGATGTGCCGAGCACATAAAGATCTAACTTTGGGTCACTCAGAGGCCTCTGCTGGAGTTCACAGCACATCCCTCCCAGGAGGCTGCGAGGTGGGTAAAGTGGTCTTAGCTGATACACAGCGTTAACAATTTAACAACTGCTATACAGCTGTCTCCCCTGGAAAAGATGGGGTGCACTAAGATAGGATTTCACATTTAAGGTAAGGATCAAAGAGTAACCACATTATTTTTTCCTAAAATCAAAGCCACCTTTGATTCTGGTATAACTGTACAGGGGGAGAAGGTACCTTTGTAAGGGGTATGGATTAGACACATTACTGAAATTTGTGGGTTAGCAACCTAATGTCTCAGCTTAGGATAAGGACTAAGTCCCTATACATGAACATAACTTAGGACAGTCTCAGGTTTCCACTAAGTGCTAGATAGATGTAAGTCATCAATTGGATTTAACAGAGACTGTGACATCATCATACAATCCTATATTTTATCCTTAAATTGCTCTAATACTGGTAAATACACAGCTTGGTCTTGATCTGTATTCAGTTATTCAAACATTCTCCTGAGGCAAAGGCACTTGGGTTGGGATGGCAGCCAGTAGAGATATGCCTCTGTCTGACCAGAAGTTCTGTGTGCTCACATGTAAGGAAACATCAAGATGAAAACCAGGTCTTATTTAACAGTCGTTATTCAGTGGGCACACTCTCCATCCACTCAAAAGACCATCAGGCCAGTCATCAAGATTTTTGGTTTTCGATGCTAGTGTGTTCTGGTTTCAAATGTGACTCTGCCTCATACACACTATGTGATCTGGAAGTCCCTTACCACCAGCAAGCCTTGGGTTGTTCTTTAGAATGGAGATAAAGCACTTCCTCAAATAGACTGATGTGGAGTTTCTGAAACACACCATAGTGCTTCAAGCCCACATAATAAGCAACGTTGGTGTTGGTAGCGGCTGTTGCGTTGTTACGGAGTTCCTCATCAAGAAAAGTCAGAGTTTTGAGGTTCCTAGCATGCTGTGAAGAGCAGCATCTTGTGTCTTGCATGATCATACGGGTCACATTACTGAGACACTAAGATGTGTGCAGTCAGTTTATCTGACAGTCATTCAAGTAAAACACAAGGAATACGCTGGTTATTGCAGAAGGGTGTGGGGTAGAATGCAGTTGGCTGGTATGGTGTTGATAGTGGCTGTTGGTAAACAGTGGGTCTGGAATGATCACTACTGGGGCACAGAGAGCCTAGAACTCCTCAGCAAATGTCTTCAGACAGTCCTAGACATCACCCTCTTCAGTCACACTGAGACGAAGGATGGGAAACCATAAGCTATTCCCATGGACTATATTTTTGGATTTATGAGGCCCACGGGAACATATTCCTGCACCATACACCTGGCGTCTAGACTGTGTTGAAACCAGAGTAATCATTTATGAAAGTACAGCACCCTAACATAGCACTACAGTTTGATGTTTCTCAGTTCTGACTTCATGAAATTGGGAAAGGGTCAGGCCAAAGTTCATGCATCCCTGAAGTAATGGAGACAGTGCGATCCCAAGACTTAGGGACCCTCATGGCTCTGAGGATGGAGGGAAGGCACTAGAAACTCTCCTAAAGGAATGTGACCTTACTCCTCACCTTTCCTCTTCTGCTCTCATTTGAGGAACAGCATCTTCTGAGAGTGTCCATGACTTCACAGTCAAGAAATCCTCACAATTAAAACTGGGCCTTTCTGGTCTGAACCAAGAACTATGTTTTTCCCTGAGACACCTCTAGGGGGCAGTGCCACAGTCCTAAGATCCTTAAGAGGTTCCTGCTCAGGTAGTAGGAATCCTGTCAAACATGTGACCCTGTCCTCCTACATCCAGAAGCTGTCGTATCACAGGGACCTGTCTGTCTTTGTCACCCTGTATCCCCCAGTACCAAACACAGAACTGGCGCATAATAGACGCAGCACCAAGTAATTGCTGAGCAAACATGTCCAATGGCTGACAGGTGGTTGCTGTCCTCATCTACCCACCTCTCATTTGTGTTCTGTATTTTCACTGCTTCTCTTCACATCTTAATTATTTTACTATGAAAATTTATACAATATCTAAACACCAAGAAAAGCATATTGCTAATCTTTATACCCCACATCTAACTTCAACATTCGTCCTGAGCCAACAGGCTTTTTTCTACATATTCCACCCTGTGGATCAAGCTTTTACCACTTGGGCCTTTCAAGAACATTGCTGATTCAAACTATCATATAGAATGTCCTAGGGGAAGCTGGACAGTGGTGGCGCACACCTTTAATCCCAGCACTTGGGAGGCAGGGACAGGCGGATCTCTATGAGTTCGAGGTCAGCCTGGTCTACAAGAGTTAGTTCCAGGACAGGCTCCAAAGCTACAGAGAAACTCCATCTCAGAAAAAAAGAAAGAAGGAAAGAAAGAATGAAAATAAAGAAAGGAAGGAAGGGAGGGAGGGAGGAGGGAGGGAGGGAGAGAGAGAAAGAGAGAGAGAGAGAGAGAAGGAGGGAGGGAGGGAGGGAAGGAAGAAAGGAAGGAAGAAAGGAAGAAAGAAAGAGAAAGATCTTAGGGAGCATCCCCTTACTCCTCATCCCTGGCTCACTCAAATCAGGGTCTGTTTCGCCCTACACATGGTTAAGTGGCTTATGCAGATGTACCTTCTGTGTATTTTAAATCATAATTTCCCTGTGCCTTTTCTGTGCTTAGATTTGCTTACATATACAAGTGTTTATCACAGTATTACAATTGCCTGCCTACAGTATTTAGTGTCGTGGCATGCTGTGTGAGTTCATGACCTAGGAATATAAACTACACTATATCACATAGGGAAGTGGGAAGCCACAGTCCCACATTCTGTCTAAGAACATTCCCTGATGTTCGCACAGTGAAGGAGGTAAGTGAAAGTGAGAGGAAGCGCTGGGTGACGGGTGCCCGCTGCTAAGACTGACAACCCGAGGTCTAGCCCCAGAGCTTACGTAATGGGAGGAGAGAACTCACTTCCACAAGATGTCATCTGACCTAAACACACACACACACACACACACACACACACATACACACACACACAACAGGCCACGTGCATACTCACACATATATACAATAAAGACAAATGCATAAAATTACATAAATTTGAGTGATATATTTTTCAGGATGTGCCCCCATTGTTAACAAATACATGACCATATTTCATACTTCAGTAATTTAATTTGTTTTCTAAAGCATAGGAATTATGTGAAAATAACTCTAATGCTCAATCCCAACAAAGACAGTAATTCAACATCATCACTCCACACCCACAGTTCTAATTGTTACTTAAATAACGCAGATTATTTTTCAGTTTGTTTAAGCAAAAATAAGGTCTGTAAAAGTGATGCTTCTTATGTTTATTCTGAAATTATACTCTTTGACAAAAAAATTAACAATTTCTTAGATCAGGCCTGTTAATTTCTTAGTAATTGAAACTGTATCCAAACTGAAACTTTTAATAAATCCTTTTGTGAGAAACGTCATCTAGATTATGTCAGGAAAGTATTTCATTCAGTCAACTCAGGTCCAACTTAAGAAGTTCATCTCAGAACCCACCTCTGCTCCAGCTGCAGCCAGGAGCCAGCGGACAGACTCCATTCTGCCCCGGGAATGGAAATAGTGAAGGATGGGCTTGCTTGCCATGACTGCGGTCAGGTCTCTATGTTTCTCTAAATGGGAATAAATAAAAGAGACCTGTGAAAATTCATTTCATGATAGATGCTTGGATAGCATGAACTAGATGTATAAAGATAAAGAAGTATCTTCCTCCTTTATGACAGGTAAAGGGGTCCCCGGATTTGGTCCAAATTGGTATCCAGCAGCAGCACCTGTGGACTAAAACAAGCTGGTCTCAGATCAGCATTGGTGAAAACGCTTCTGCTCTTGACAGGCTGACTGGTGGACATGGTAGTTATGCCCATGTGGGAGTTAGTGAGAAAAGGAAGAATCAGAGAACTCAAAGACACTGACAACCTCCGAACGCCCCCAATAGTCTCTCTTGACACATTGAGTCTTTATTCTTCATGGTTTGCCTATGAAGATGCTGTTGTCTCCACAGGGCAATTAACACAACTGAGTTTTAGAGATGTTAAATGCAATGTCTGCTGTCACACTAAAGCCCACCACAGACATGAAAATCCACAGTGGGCACTAAAATCACGAAGGTGTGGAACCCACGGCAGGGAAGGTACAAGAGACTTGTCAAAGCCTTGACAAAAGCAGAAACTGAGCCCTAAGAATTGTTCAGCTGAGCAGGTAGAGCTTAACTGTCAACGGTCTGGCATGCCACTTCCTGCCTTTTGTCAGCGATGTCCCCTGATTCCAAGGCTCTGACAAGCTCCCACCATCTTGTTTCATTAGACTCTGCATCCTACCTGTATTGTTTCAGTTTCTTTGTAGAAACAAGCAAAAAAGGATGTTGGTGACTTCATGCTACAGTGTACAGAAGGGATCCAACACTTCTTCATTCTCAGATAAACAGTGGGCATGCTCATACATTTGTCTTTATTTTGTTCTAAAAACATCACCTAAGAGGACTTCTTTTTGATATATTTATTTTACAGATGGAAATATTGGGGTTTCTGGGGAGACTTGCTCAAATGAAAGGCAATTCTAGGGTTTCTGTTTAAAACCAATTACTTTCACGGACAGTGGTGTTCAGAATGCTTGTAACAAGCCTCAAAGAAACAGAAAAGAGCAGGGGATAGTGAGGTGGAGAAAAATAATACAAGATGAGTCTGCAGCTTCACTTACATGTGTCCTGCATGCATGTGTGTACACATACATGCTCCATCCTTAGAAATGATAATAGACATATTGACTGAGCCCAGTTAAGGAAGTTTGACCGCCCTGCTCTAACTCCAACTGCTTGGGAGGCAGAACATAGCAACAAAGCAAAACATGAAAGCCAACAGCTCCTGGCACAGACAAGACTACTGTATCATGATAATAAGAGTAAAAGGCTCACTGAACACGGTAGCACAGGAGTGAGACCTGGGGAGGGACAATTCTACTTTCCTCTTCAATCTGAAACTCTTTATAAAGCGTTTAGATTCACCAACTCAATAGATAGATAGATAGATAGATAGATAGATAGATAGATAGATAGATATCGATATTGACATATATATATGACATAATATTGATATATATAGATATAGATATTGAAAACACAGAGGGACTATTTGGGAGGAGCAAAGAGGCCAGTCGGGAGAAGTAGAAAAGTGTGGTCAGGGGGAAATGTAAGCCAAGTACAAGGGCATATACCTGTGAAAAATCTCACAGCAAAACGCACTATTTTACATGCCAACTAAAAGTTATAGGGTTTTTTAATTAAAGAAAAATGATTCTTACAGGTTTTCTGTTTTTTAGATAAAAGCAGCAGCACACTGCTTTACCAACATATTTCTAAGAAACTCTGTGACTTGAATTATAGAAATCCAATTTCAAAACACTTATTATCAAATGTGCGACTAAAAATGACCTTTATAAAGTAGAAAACACTTAAAAACACACAACTCACTTGTCCTATAACTGTAGATCACTGTGTAAACTGTGTGTTCTTATCAGGGCAGTGGGGGTGGCACAATCCATTGGAGGGAATGGAGAGTGATGTCACACAGCCTAAGGCACAGACAATTGTCAGGGCTGAAGACACGGGAGGCCCAGCCCTCACCGTACTGCTCAGGGGTCCCTGACTGAGGATCATGTTACACCAGGAAATGAAGCTTTATCTTATGAAATATTTTACCAAATACTCCTTACCATTTCTAAAAATGAGGATGTCAAAGACCAGGGCAAAACTTGAGTAAGATTACTATTAAATTTTACTGGGTAAACAGAAAATGAGACCAAGAGAGATGAATAATTTGTTGTGGGTGGAATACACAATCCTCATTCATAGTACCAGGGAGTAAGTCTCCTGCAACCACCAGGGCGGTATCCCGATAGGCTACATACAAAGAACCAACCTGCGCATGTTCTCACACTGAATACCATGTCAAGGCTCCTCTGCTCCACCCTGCAGCCCTCATCAGCTCTGTGCTGCCCTCTGAGGACCTCTGCCTTTTTTTCCCCAGTAAGAATCCTTCAACCAATTGGTTGAAAATGAAGGAGGCAACGAGAGCAGCTAATTCATGAGCGCCTTTTTGTGAGCAGCCTTTCAACCACATGATGGGAGAAGGAATCAATGAGAAGCACACGGTGTGGTCTCTGACAATCCAAAACTGCTGAATGAATTCGAGACTGCAATGACTATATTTGCCTAATTAAGAAAATGGAGTTGGGTGAGCTGGGGAGATGGCTCAGAGTTTGAAACCTAGTTCAATTAGAGTTTGATTTCCAGCATGCTTGTCAGATGGCTCACGCCCACTTGTAACTTCAGCGGCAGAAGAGCTGACGCCCTCTCCTGTCTCCTAACTCACAAATGATCATGCCCTCAAATAGATAAATATACATAGTTAAACATAAAATAAATATTTTTATAAAGGAAATGGATTGGGCAGGTGACCATAGCTCAGTGGTAGGATTCTTGCCTACCATGTATGATGCCCTCCCTACATTCAGTTTCCGAGCACCACAGAGAGGAGACAGGAGGCTTGCCCGAAAAAAAATACAATCAATGACAAATCTAGCAAATTAAGAAAACAATGTCTCTTGGTTGTTCAAAAAACACTGCAGCGAGAGTGTCATACCTTAACAGTTGGAAGGAATACATAGGTTGAAACTCTTCCATTTGGGGGGGGGGTGTATAAACTCAATAGATTATCTAATATCTGACTCGGGTTTCCCTTGTTAAAGCAGTTTATAATATACTTTTTAGGGCTATTTAGAAGGTACAATGAGCTAAGGAACATATAGCATTAATAAACTGTTACAGAATGCTAGTCATAGCTCCCCAGTTCTGGGAGGTAGGTGCATGCATGAACAGCCTACTAGACCATGTGGGGCTGAACATAGGCACCCCTCTCTCCCTGGGCTATGAGGAAAGTGTTCAGCACGGACAAGTATTGTTAAATATTAAGTACTAATTAGGTGTCAATAAAAATATCAGTCCTATGTCCAGATTTCTTAAGTCTTTCTTATAAACAAAACTTTTAATGTGTTCAATGAATGATCAAAACTGATGAAGCAGGCTGATTGACAGGCCCACCTTTTCTTCTGTCTGGGTAGCCTTGAGTGGGGAGCTGACAATCAACAGTCCCTTCACTGGTAGCAGGCTGGATGGCTCTTAGAAGCCAGATGTTTGAGAAACTTTCTAACAACTCTCAAACTCTTCAGCAGCTTGAGAGGAAGACGTGTTCCAGCTATGATCATGCACTCCAGACAGACTGCACACGCCTAGAAAAGTGGACCCCAAAGCAAGACGAGCATGGTAAATTCTAGATGACCTTGCATAGGCTGCAGTGATTTTCACTAAGGCCGGAGACGGGGCAGGGCACTTCCACTAAGGTCTGAGATTAATGCACACAGTCCTTCACTGTGTCGAGACTATTGGGATGGGGGCCAGCACACTCGCCATACTCCCTGATCTGCCTTTTCCTCATCTGTCAGGCAGCCGTCCAGCCACTTCACAGGCCAAGCTACAGCTACAGCCACTTCACTGCTTCCATGGTATGTAGGCTGATTGTTTGCCACCAGTTCAGCCAGGCTACACAGACAGGAAAAGACTCTCAAGAGGAGCCTTTATTGACCCTAATATTTTAACACAAGATAAAGCACATGAGAACATCTCACAGATAAATCTCCAAGAGAACAATCCAGTTATGTATCCGGAAGAATGCCTGCAAATTAAAGCGGACCTCACATGCAAATGAAGGGTTATGATTGCACCAATCATAGCATCGTCTCATGTGCGCCAGCCACAGCAGTACCTCGCTAGGCCACAAGGGGGAGGTGTTCCCTCTCTGGCCTAGGTGGGAATGGTTGCTGCAATTCTTGTGTAGTTTCCTCAAGGCATCTGTAAAGAGTTCAAAATGAGAGCGCTGGTATAAAAGACTTCAGCTGGCTGTCCGGCTGACAGCGCTTTTGTTTAAGGCAGCCAGGGTAGCAAAAGACATCAAAGTCTTTGCTTATTCCCAGGAACATGAACACGAGAAGGTGCGCTTCCAAGACGAACCTGAAGGAGTTACTGTGAACATTTATCACTGATTGTTCACAGTGCTCTAATGATGCTTAATACCTGCCTAGCGCTCCAGGGAGAGGGAGGTGTCCCGCGGCTTTTGCAAATCTACGGGGACTAAACTCACAAAAGATGAAGGCACAGCCCATATGAGCTCAAAGTCTATGGTAGAAACTGATATTAAATTAGGAATGTCAAAAGAATCCCAGGAAAGTCTAAGTTGCAAACGTTCAGTAACAATATCACCTGAAGGTAAGACAGACTGATGGGAGTCAACAATGTCTACAAAGATCGAAGGCGGGGAAGGTTCCCTGAGTCAGCCAGGAAAGGGAACGCATGCAATAGTTGTTACACAGACCAGATTACAGCCTGGACACTGGTGGTCATGTATATTTCAGAGAAACAATCCTTTGATATTAGTACGCACTGTTTGAGACAGACTTACATTGATAATTACTATGTGTTTGTCTGAAATTCTTATTTGACTTGAAGTTCTGCATCTTGTCCGACAACGTAGCAAGAAAGTATTCCAGGTCACCCACAGTTGCTTTTTACAAACATGGCCTTCAAGTCAAGCTCAAAATAGAAGCATCACACTTTCTGTAGTCTGTACTGCATTCATGAAGAACCACACCATCCAGGTTCTTGAAAAAGCCCGCCACATAGACAAAGCAAAATCTTTCAAGCTTTAATCGCAGCTTTGAAAGGGAGCCATTACCCAGTTGTTTTGTAAGAGCAGCGGCAGCGGCGGTGAAGGGGTGGTCGTCGCTGCCTCCATAGTGGCAATCAGGAGAAGTCAGGGCAATAAAACACAGACCTGAGTCCAAGGGAGCAGCCGGGACAACAAGAAAAAGGGGTGGTAGGAATACAGAAGACAAACCCTAAAGTTGTGGGTGGGACAAAGGGTGAGGTTGAAGAACTGAGGCTGGACCTCAGTGGATAGAATGCTTATCTCACACACGTGGTCCTATGCTCAGTCTCCAACACGACATAAAGCTGGGCCTGCCACTGCATGCCCTGCAATCCCAGAACTTGAGAAGTAGAAACAGGAGAATCACAGTTCCATGCTACCCTTGGCTAGTTCAAGTTCAAGGCCAGCATGGGCTGGCTACCTGAGATCCTGTCTCAAAAAGAGAGCAGGGAGGAGACGGGGCGTGGGTTGGAGTGGGGGCTCCAGAATGCAGAAACTGAAGGCAGATGGACGACTAAAAGGGCCATGGAATAAAAAAATGCAAGCCCCGCCACTAGAGGAGCTCCGGAGAGTGGTCAAGTTTTCAACCACAAGGGTCTCAAATACTCTAGGCCCAGAAGCCAAGAGCTGAGGAATTCTCAGTTCCTAGGGCTATACAGGAGTCGTAACACTAGAGGGCGCCACCTGCTGCCGGTCCCACCTGCCTGCTGCCGCTACTCACTACTGTCAAACACCAAGAACACAGAAGCTGCCAAAGGTCCCCAGGACTGGCAGGAATTCTAACCTGCACAGGATTTCAAAACAGGCCAAGGCTAAAAGAACTCAGCCAACTAAGCGTAACAGTATGGGAGACAGCCTGACCACAGAAACAGCACAAAAATGTTAACCTCGGGGGCTAGAGGAATGGGTCAGCAGTCAGGAGCTTGGCTGCTTCTTCAGAGAGCCTGGAACCGGCACCACACGGTGGTTCCAAACCATCTGTATCTCCAGTTCCAGAGGACTGGATAGCCTCTGCTGGTCTCTGCGGCCACCAGGTAATACATGTGGTAAACATCCATATGGAGAAAATGAAAAGGAGTAAATCCATTTTTAAAGTCAATTGTAAAAGTCTATAGCAAATTTCTAACAAACAACCAAAAATGATAAACCCCCAGATACTCATCACTCAGTCAACAACTTCCTTCTTCCACACATGGAGTTAAATTAGTCCCCCCAAAGCAAGCCTACGTTGAAATCCCTGAGTCCTGGGAATGTGACTCTACCTGGGGAAAGGTTCTGGAAAAAAAAAAAAAATGCATGCAAGGGTATTCCAATAAGAAGATTGTGAATTACCCAGACAAGCTTTAAATCTGATGACCGGTGTCTGGATGAGAGAAAGGACAGCCACCAACAAGGTAAAGTGGCAGAACTGAGATCGGAAGGATGTGGCCACATCCCATGAGTTGAGTGGTTTTTCCAGAGCACCACCCATGGGGAGCAAAGTAGACAAGCGTGGGGAAGACATGTGTGGGGTGGCTTCCAGCAGCGTGGATGAGAACGGACTTGGGGGATGACTTCGGAAGGATTTTCTCCTAGAGCTTCCAGAGAACTGAGGACCCGGGCCACCTTCACTTCTGACTTCCGACCTTCACAGATAGAAGAGGTTATATTTCCCTGAAGACACCATATGTCTATAGCGTACAAAAGGAACAAACAAACTCAAATATGTTCCTGTACACCCCTAGGACTCCTGAGACCAGTGTCAGAGACCAGAGCACGTTGGTCACGGTATCACAATTAGTCTACAAATTGAGGATATTATTTCCGGATATAATTATAAAACTCTCTTAAAATGTAAACTTCCATTATTCTGCCTCCAACTCAACTCTCCAGTTTCTCCAGTTAAACCATAAAGGTTCCTTCCTAGTTTACTTTAGTATTTGAAGTCGAGCAAGGTCCTCATACAGCACTGGAGCGATATGAAGAAATGTATCTTATAGCAAAGGATGAATGGAGACAAAGTCGGGGACAGGCTTTGGAAACGCGTGAGAAATCCCCAGAGCCCAGACCATCCCCTAGGGTCTCGGTGTCTGCATGCCTTTGCTCACGGTGCGTTATCTTCCTGTGCTGACCACAGCTGGCTGTGAGACATAACTGGACTCCCGGGAGTGTGGGCACAACACAGTGGTCTTCGGGTACTTCACGTTTCCTAGGGCTCTGTGGAGAAGCAGAGGGCAGACCAACACTGTCCGAGAAGTGGAAAGGTGGGGAAGTTAAACAGGGCCAGGGGAGAAAGATTTTCCAAGCAGGGTCCAAATGGCCTCAGGACACTCAAGAGACAGACTGTGATGGAGGGCGAGGGAATGGGGAGGGTTACAAGGAAGCGTCCCAAAGGCAACAGGGACTTAAGGGGTTTAAAGAAAGGAAGTCTTCAGATTGATTTTGAAAAACTATTCTGTTGAAAATGGAGAAGAAACTAGAGCAAGAGACGCGCGCACGCGCGCGCGCACACACACACACACACACACACACACACACACACACACACACCTTGCCTGTTTGCTCCCTTTCTCTTCCCAGCTCACTAACACAATTCAGGTTTTCTGTAAGATTACTTCCTTGTTTTATTCTATCATCTGGGGACAGTAAAAGCCACCCCTGACCGCTGTGTCCAGATCTAAGACAAGCCAGGGAGAACTGACTGCATCTGGCTTCAAACGGATACAACTACTCACGGGCTGAGAAAGCCAGGCACATTCTGTAATCGCTCTAACTTTCTATGTGTGTTTTTCACATACTAAGGCTTTAACCATTATGTTCCCTTGAGGTCCCTGGACATGTCATTTTCCAGCGACGTTTGTATGATTCTGAAGAGATTAGAATTCATGAGCTCAACCTACATCCTTCACAGAACTCCAGCTTCAGAAGGATGAAAGGCCGGGTGTGTGGCTGAGAGATTTAGGTCTGTAAGAAGTTAGAAATTCAGAACGTCTGCAGGTGGCATGGGGGTGGGGGAACTGTCTTGGGACCATAGTTTACAATCGGGGAGAGATAGCGAAGGCCTCTTTATTTCTGCACCGTAGCAAGGAAATACAGGGTAGGGAAGTCTGCCCTGTGCGATGCACATACATCAGCGGTTCTCCTGGGCCTGAACTGAGGCTAAAGAGAGAAAAGAAACCGCGGACGGGAAAAGAACTACACGCAAGCTCATTACCTCATTCCGGAAGCAATTTCAGCGCAGGCGCACTCTGGTGGCGCCCCACCCCCACCCCGCATCCTGGTGGCCGGTGCCCAGTAGCACGCATGTCCGGTTCACTAAATTCAGCCCTGTCCAGAAACGTGAGTGCCACCAAGCAACCTAGAGAGTCCGTGCAGGCAACTCTCTCCTAGATTCAGACTGGATCCTGCTGCCTCCTGCCGGGCTGGCTGACATCTGCAGCGGGTGCATTATCTAGTGCATCATCAACTAGATCCCAGAAGGAAGAAAGATTTTTAGCAGGAAAGAAGTTTTGGCTTGGGGGGACCCACCCTGGCGGAACCTCTACCAAAGCCAAGCACCGTACTCACTGTCTATAAATTGTTTCTGTTTTCAGTGGAGGGACCGACGTTCCAAAAGATGAAGTACGATGTCCAAGTCAGTCCAATTTGATGTGGTTTAAAGCCCGATCCCCTTACAGATTGCCGTCTCTAGGATCTGATAGATGTGAGCGTGACATCAAGATCCTGCTTTTTTGATATGAGACCAGAGCTGCCAGCCTTGAACGTCCAGGATGAATGGTAAAGAACGCCAGCGATGGAAAACATCTTGAATCTTGGGAGTCCAGGTGAATCAGTTCCCAGAAAAGAAATTTATATTGACAGGAACTCGTCCCTCTTGGTAAATTCTCACGCCACCCCGTTTTGCCTTCTAGGCTGAAAATAGTAAGCAGGACAAACCCTCTGTGCTCCATTACACAATAGCAGTCCAGGTACTGAGGGAGGCTCCAGGCTTCTGGGGGGGTTTCAGCCACAATCAAGCCTAACACATACATTACATCTTGTGAATTCCTTTGCTGAACCTATTCCTTCCAAAGTGAAAGTATTTAGGGGAAATAATATGTCTGTGTTTTTACAACTGGGAAGTCTAAACTGGTGCTAGGGGATTAACCAAGCCCTGGGAGACACAGGGATGTGGAGGCAGTAGCCTCCTGCTGTTTGCCTCTGAGTTCTCCGGGAACTTCTTCCCACCCTGCTATGTCCACCCTCACCCCAGCCTTCTCCCACCCTCCTCCCCCCAGCCCGCAGAATCACAGAACACTTTCCCCACTCAAAAATAAAATGAAAAGCTTCATAGAGTTCCTCATTGTTTCAACAATCTGATCTGAATATATAAATACCTTCCCCTCTGGGAAAGCGATTTTCTTTTTTAAAGACTTTAAAAGACTAGCTGCTCCAAGATATTTTTTACCTCGCTGCTAAAAACTAGAAGCTGTTTTTAGGCGCATGCTGTTTCTCTTGAACACACATTATTGAAGTCTTTTTTTTTTTTAACTCTCTGTACGCTATGGGAATCGCACACTTGCGAACATGTGGGGAAGAGGAACTTTCTCAGGCTGAACTTCCAACTGCCGTAGCCAGCAAATGTATTTTATAAACTGATAAAACAGGTGCAAACTAAACCATTTCCTGTCCACCAAGCTGACACTGCAGAAAATCGTCTCCAGGATGCTGCACACATAAGAGGAAGGAAGCTTCAATCACAAGAGCACAGGAGAGGATGAATTGAATGAGAAAGTGAGTGGGCAAGGGGAACCAGTGTGCAATCATGTGTGCCCCACACAGTAAAACAGCAAAGCCATCACACCAATAGGGAAGACAAAGGAGAAAAAATAATCCAGCCAATAAAATTCCACCTCTTAATAATAACCTTAAATGTAAATAACTTTGGCTTACCAATAAAGACACGCAGACTGGTTGGCTGGACATAAAAAACTGGATTCGGCTGGTGGTAGATTCCTTTAATCCCAGCACTCGGGAAGAGGCAGGCAGATCTCTGAGTTCAAGACCAGCCTGGTTTGCAGAATGAGCTCCAGGACAGCCAAAGCTACACAGAGAAACCCCCATCTTGAAAAAAATCAAATATATATAGTCTCCAAGAAACACACCTCATGGGTAAAAACACCTATGGGTGGAAAGTCAGAGAATGGAAGTAAAAAACAAGTTGGCATGACTAGTTTGATGTCTGATAAGCATACTTCAAGTCAAAATTAGAAAAGATAAAGTAGATACTACATTATTAATAAAGGAAACAAATTCGTCAAGAAGATATAACAATTATAAATATATATTCACCACACAGTGGAGCCCTAATTTCATAAAGAAACAATAAAGGACAAAAAAAAAAGTCAGACATGCCCTAACACAGTAATAGTAGGTAACTTCAATACCCTATCCTCATTTTTTTTTTGTTTTTTTCGTTTTGTTTTGTTTTGTTGTTTTTTTCAAGACAGGCTTTCTCTGCAGCTTTGGAGCCTGTGCTAGTAGACTAAGCTGGCCTCGAACTCACAGAGATCCTCCTGCCTCTGTCTCCCAGGTGCTGGAATTAAAGGCATGCACCACCACTGCCCAGGCCTACCCTCATTTTTAACTAATATTCAGTGATGTGTAGCAGTATCCTCTGAGTTGAAACATTCCATCCTGGAGGGAGGCTCCTTTAAGACTCAGGACATTCTAAAAGAATCCTCAAGACTACTCAGTAAGCAACTCCCAAGTTTTAGGAAATCCCTGAAACTTAACAGATTCACAAAAATTTACCCCCTCCCCCAGGTTATATAGACAATAAGGATTGCTGCAACGAGGGGAGTCTCAAGCATGTTGAGCTGCTTTCAAGTCGTACAAAGAGCTCCAAAACCACATTTCACAAGTAGTGACTTGCGGGTCACTCTAAATCATGCAGCTGATTCTAAATCATTCCTACTCCTGAAGATGACCCCAATAAATTCACTGGCACCCCAAGTTAAACATTAGTAGAATCCATTCTTTGGTCTGTAATCGGTGCCCTATCTAGGGTGATATGAAATGCACACACCAGTTTCTTTCCCTGTAAATAGCGTTCATACCATTTTAATGCCTTTATAAGAATCACATTGAAGCAGTCAGTATAAGTGTTCAAGCAGTCATACATGCAGGTCCTATGTGCCAAGCCTCCTCTTCCTGGACATGAAGCCAACATACCCTGCAGAAACAAGTCCCAGAACTCTTACTCCAGTGTAAGAGTTCTCCAGGCTACATATGTAGCTCAGACAAGTTAGTCTTGGTCTTTCTCCAACTGCCTTTCTCTTTCTAGAATATACCACTCAGTCCCCTGGATCTTCCAGTGTTTGGACCACTTTTGACAGCCTAGCTAGTGATAACTCCAAATTTGATTGAATGATCTATTGAGTCCCTTTTGCTAGTATTCCAGCTCAGACTATCACTGGAGAAGTCAGTACAGGATCCTGGATGAAGGAGCTGATGCAGATTCATGGAGGAGTGCTACTTCCTGGCTTACCCCTCAGCCCGCTTTCTTATAGCGCCCAAGACCACAAGCCCTGGGATGGCATCCACAACTAACTGGACCATCCCACATCAATCACTAGTTAAGAAAATGCCCTACTGGTAGAATTAACATAGCAAAAATAGCAATCTTACCCCCCAAAAAATCTACGGATTCAATGAAATGCCCAGCAAAATTCTTCACAGACCTCAAAAGAATGGTACTCAACTACATATGGAAAAGCAAAAATTCCAAGATAGCCAAAATGATCCTGTACAATAAAAGAATTTCTGGAGGCATCACAATTTCTGACTTCAAACTCTACTACAGTGCTACAGTACTGAAAACAGCCTGGTAGTGGCATAAAAACAGATAGGAGGACCAATGGAACTGAATCAAAGGCCTGGATATTAATCCACACACTTTCGAACACCTGATTTTTGATAAAGAAACAAAAAATATCAATGGAAAAAAGAAAGCATATTTAACAAGTGGTGCTGACATAACTGGATATCAACATGTAGAAGAACCAAAATAGGTCCAAAACTCAAGTCCAAATAGATCAAAGGCCTCAACATAAAGCCAGTCATGCTAAACCTTATAGACAAGAAAGTTGAAAGAACACTTGAACACATTGTCACAGGAGACCACTTCCTAAATAGAACCCCAGTAGCACAGACACTGTGATAAACAATTAATAAATGGGACCTCCTGAAACTGAAAAGCCTCTGTAAAGCAAAGGATATAATCAACAAGACAAAACAGCATCCTACAGAATGGGAAAAGATCTTCACCAACCCCACATCAGACAGAGATCTGATCTCCAAAATATACAAAGAACTCAAGAAATTGGTTATCAAAAGAACAAATAATCCAGTAAAAAAAGGGGGGAGGGGAGGTATAGACCTAAACAGAGAACTGTGAACAGAGGAATGTAAAATGGCTGAAAGACACTTAAGGAAATGCTCAACATCTTTATCCATCAGAGAAATGCAAATCAAAACAACTCTGAGATTCCATCTCATACCTGTAAGAATGACCAAGGTCAAAAACACTGATGACAACCTATGCTGGAGAGGGTGTGGGGTAAAGGGAACACTCCTGCATTGCTGGTGGGAGTGCAAGCTGGTACAGCCCCTTTGGATATCAGTATGGTGATTTCTCAGAAAATTAGGAAACAACCTTCCTCAGAACTCAGAAATACCACTTTTGGGTATGATACCCAAAGAATGCTAAATCATACCACAAGGACATGTGCTCAACTATGGTTCATAGCAGGATTGTTTGTCATAGCCAGAACCTAGAAACAACCTAAATGCCCCTCAACTGAAGAATGGATAAGGAAAATGTGGTACCTTTACACAACGGAGTACTACACAGCATAAAAAAAAAATAACATCTTGAGATTTGGAGGCAAATGAATGGATCTAGAAAACATCATATTGAGTGAGGTAACTCAGATTCAGAAAGACAAATAATAGATGTACTCACTCATAAGTGGCTTTGAGACATAAAGCAAAGAAAGCCAGCCTATAATTCATAATCCCAGAGAACCTAGACAACAATGAGGACCCTAAGAGAGATATACATGAATCTAATCTACATGGGAAGTAAAAAAAGACAAGATCTCCTGAGTAAATTGGGAGCATGGGGACAATGGGGGAGGGTAGAATGGGAGGAGAGAGAAGGGGAAGCAGAGGAAAATGGAAAGCTCAATGAAACCAATAAAAAAAATTTAAAAAAAAAAAGAAGAAGAAAGAAAACACCCTACAGAGTTGCCTGCAGACCAATCCTACGGGAACATTTTCTTGATTGAGAGTCCTTTTTCTCAAGTGACTCCAGCTTCTGTTGAGTTGACATAAAACTAGCTAGCATGTTGATAAAGAATTTACCCATGAAAGATACTCACAAATCTTCATAGCTTTTCCTGAAAAAGACCTTAGCAACTACCTTGTTACCAGAGGGCAAGGAAAGAGTCTGTCCACAGTGCTGGCCCTGGGCACACTGGAGATTAATCTGAAACCCCTCTTACAAAATTAGGCTTCCTCTGGTTCCTTTGTTTCCTGGGAATCCCAGAAGTAGCCCCCAGAGAACCGTCTTCTGGAGCTCAGAGAAGCAAATGGCCGGAGGACTGAGGGCTGTAGAAAGCCTTGGGGACCCAGATCCCACCTGCCTGGGCTCCCTCTAGGAGAGTCCACTAGCCCTTTCCGTCAGGAGGCTCCAGAATCATGCCAAATTCCATTCCCCAAAACTGCAGCTCCAGGATGCCTCCGCTCCTCTCAGACCCTGCAGCTGATCGCCTGTTGGGCCGTCGCTGTCTGGTCTCGGGTGCTGTGTCATTAGTCCTGATGGGCAGGTGACCTACTGCTGCCACTTCTTGCGGATTCTTGGTGAGTCAGTATTGTGGGCTGGTCGTTGTCACCTGCTCCTGACAGAACTAACGCAGATGCTTCTCCCACCACAGTCCTGCTGCCCTAGGGCCTCTCGTCCACCCTTCTCAGCATTCCAAGGGAATTGTGCTGAGTTTATTAGTCCCAAGAGGAGGCTA